ACTATCGGAACATCGTGATTGACTGGAATCGGTGGTGCCTCTCGGCCTGCGGGATTTATCTACTGTAGTAGGCCTGTTCTTTTCTGATTCTTCATTTCTCATCCTGTGTACTCCCCAGCCTCATCTCCTTTGGAGGAAGGCTTTTCTTATATGGTGCTTTATGTTTGCAAACCAGCAGGAGGTGCCCTGTTAACTCTTCTCAGGCGGAGGAAAATGAATTCATTGTTTAAACACACATACTCACCCCTCTCCAGCAGGTGCCTGAGTTTCTGGCCAGTCTTTAATTGGCGGGCTTTGCTGGGGAAAGCAGCTTTCAGTCTGTGTGTATTCAACTCTGGGCTACATGCCTTCGGTAGCAAGAATGCCCACTGCGGCACTGGACCAGCTCTATGCTAACTCCCCTAGATCTTTCCAGACCCTGAGTGATTTGTGCCAACATCAGCTGTTTATACTCTGTCAGCATTAAAGCAATGGACTGGTGCTCAGTTTCTCATGCAAAGGCAATGTGGAGTAGTGGGGGGACAGGAAGTGAGGGATCTGCTTTAGCCCGGGCTCCATCCTCTCTTCCAAGACGCCTCTTTATCTGGATAGCGCGGATGAGATAGACTCATTGAGGGAGAGCCCAGCAGGCTCTCGCTGCAGAGGGGTTAAAGATGAAAGAGCAGGGGGCTCTGGGAATTCAGCCACAGCCCGTTCTTGTGTGCCCGAGGCTCTGGATCATTGAAGGAATGTCTCAGTTCTCTGACAAAAGGAAACTAACCAGTAAGGTATTGTAGGTTGCTGAGCTGACTCCACTTTCCAGAGGCTTTTCACCCCCTTGCACAGAGTGGCAGCAGCTTGTCACTGAGGCACTAGCTGGGAACTCCTGGGGGATGGGGCTATTGGTAATAAGTGACCCAAAGCAGCGGCATGTCCCCCCTCCAGCTTCTACACACACGGGCAGCCAGGGGGCTCCGCACGCTGCCCCTGCCCCAAGCGCCGGCTCTGCAGCTCCAATTGGGTGGGAACCGCGGCCAATGGGAGCTGTGGGGAGGGTGCCTGGCCGCGCCTCCGCGTAGGAGCTGGCGGGGGGAATATGCTGCTGCTGCTGCTTCTGGGAGCTGCTTGAGGTAAGCGATGCCCAGAGCCTGCATCCCTGACCCCCTTCTCACATCCCAACCCCGGGCCTCAGCCCGGAGCCCCCTCTCATACTTTGAACCCCTCAGCTCTACCCCCCAGCCCAGAGCCTGCTCCTGTACCCCAAACCTTTCGTTTCTGGCCCCGGGGGGGTGGGAAATGGAGTGAGCGGGGGAGGGGCATTGGAGAAGGGGTAGGGCTCAGAGGAGGGGCGGGGCAAGGGTGTTCAGTTTTGTGCCAGTAGAAAGTTGGCAACCCTAGTGCGGAAGGGCAGCCTGAGAGCCAGTTCGGCCACTATTCCCAACTCTCCCTCCCCTTTGTAGGAATGTTGATTAAAGGGAAGTGCAGGCAAGTGCCTTGTCACCTTCAGCTGCCCTGCTGGATTAATCCCTTCCTCCTGGAGATCCCCCTTGCTTTTACTTCCCTAGAGCAGCAACAGCGTGGAGTCTGCCCCACCTCACAGGGCTCTGGTTCCAGCGACGGGGGCAGATCAATACTCATCTGGACACTGCGGGGTCGGCTTTGCCTGCTCAGGGCACAAGATAACGAGAGCTCTCAAGTCAGGGCCTGGGAAGAGCAGGGCTGGGGAGGTGTTGCCCCATTTCCTGTGTGTGTGGTGAGCCGAAAGAGCAGTGGCTGTAGTCAGAGGGGAAGGAAGGCCCAGACAGTGCAGGAGAGAGAAGTGGAGATGACCACGATGTGAGGCAGGGCTGGGGAGCAAAGCCCCTTGTGCATGCCCAGATGCACAGCAGTGCCGGTCAGTGCTGGGCTGGTGAAAGGGATGCGGGGTCAGAGCTGGGGCATAAAAGCCACTGTGGCCTCCAGGATAGTGCAGTCAGGTGCAGGGCTGGGGAATGATGCCTAGAGCGAGGCTTGGGTGGGGGGGGGGGAGAAGGGAGGAAGGACTGAGGAATCCTTGCAGGGGTGCAGTGCTGGGATTAGTGGGATCAGACAGAGCTGGAAGGAAGGTAAGTCTCCTAGCTTTGACTAAACCCCTGGGAACTAACCCCAGAGGCCACTTCCCTGTCCCCTCTGGCCACAGCGACATGCTAAGGGAGCTCTGTCCCGGGGTGGAGAGGGACGTAGGGCTCTGTGCAAGTCACCATTGCTTCTGCATGGGCCTGAGGCTGCAGCTGGGCAGGAGAGGGTGGGGCTTCCATTGGGGGGCTGCCAGGACACTGGAGCAGGAAGCAAGAGATTAAAGCATTGTCTAAACAGCCTTCGCAGCTGCCCAGCTCCTCCTCCAGTGCGGGACGCTCGCTCAGGCTCGGTCTAACATACACACGCCGGGGATCCATCCTTTAGGGCTAGAGCTGGGTTTCCAGCACAGCCTGTCCACAGTCCGCTCACCTTTAGGGGTCTGCAGAGCTCGCTGTGGCTCGTGCTTCCAGTCACATGGCACGGTCCCTCGGGAAACCTGTCTCTGCCTTCCCTCTCCAGCATGTGCTCCTGCCCACAAGTCCCAGATGGCATGATGCCCCCTGAGCATCAGGCTGTCCAAGGCAGGGGGGGGAGAGGTTTAGCTCTGTGATGCACCTGTGAAGATTTGACCCCAGGAGTGGCTGCATACCAGCAATGCAGCGCACCCGCTGTACAAGAACCAGGGCAGCTCCCCCTGCTGTGTTTGAGTCCCCAACTACCTGCCATCTAACCAAATCCCTTAGAGCACCCCTGCTCCCGGGGCACAGGCCCTGCTTGTCTGCCCCGAGGCTCCTTGTCTGGTGCATGCAGCTCTGCAATGGTCAGGGGCTGCATTTGTTCCCAGTCTCCATTCCCCGCCTCCCCAGTTCGCCCTACCCCCTTGAGTCCTTTGCTGGTGCTGAGAGGATGGAGGTAGCCGGAGAGACACCCAGCGGATTGGGAGGAGCTGCTTCTTCCCAGATTCCTGTCTCACCGCTGGACTCGGGTTGGGGCTGGGAGTCGAAACTCCTGGGTTCTATTCCCAGCTCTGGGAGGGGATTGGGAGTCTAGTGGCTAAAGCGGGGGGGGGGGAGGGGGGGGCTGGGTACCAGGACTCCTGGCTTCTATCCTGAGCTCGAGGAGGGAGTGTATTCTAGTGGTTAAAAGAATAGATGGGGTTCTGCTCTTGGCGCTGGAGGCTGCAAGCTCTAGTGGTTAGAGTCGGGGATTGGGAGGCAGGACTCCTGGGTTCTAGTCCCACCGCTGCAGAGTTCTTCGGAAGAGCCAGCGCGCTCTGCATGATGTATGTGCCTCGCAAGCGGCTGCAGTGGAGGGGCGGTAGGACCTGGCTCACTGCCCCTCTCTGCGTGTCGCTTGCAAACACCCCAGCGTGGAAGCCAGGCTCATCCGGACCAAAACCAGAGGAAAGACACGAGATGAGAACCTGCCTGTACCATAGCTGCAGCCAGTCATGCCCGGTCGTTTCCACTCCATGACCTCATCTCTTCCCTCCAGGGAGCTGGGCTCAGAGAGCCATGAGCTGGATCATAAGGCTAAGAGAGACTACTGCCAAACTCCCACTGTGCACCAGGGATGGATCCCTGAAATAACCTCACAGCCAGTTCAGGGGTGCAATGGCCCTTCTCAGCTCAAGGAAGCAGCCCGCCTCCCCCTCTAGTTTATCCCACCCAGCCTAGTCTCTACTACCCCCACTTCTCTTCCATTCCTCCTGCATGCTCCGCCTCTGCCTTGCTAGACCATCTCCCACACTCGGGCGATCCCAGGGTGGTCTGCAGAGCAATGGTTTCGCGATGGGGACTGTGCTGCCCAATATGCCGCCCACAGCATATTTGTCTGGCCTGCAGCAGCAGATGGTGAGATGAGAAATGGGCCGAAAGCAGAACCTTTGATCCAGCTAAAAGAAAAGGAGGACTTGTGGCACCTTAGAGATGAACAAATTTACTTGAGCATCCAGCTGACTCCCCTCATCCCATCTCCTAAGAAATGTGGCTTGGATACAATAGAGGCTGGGTGCAAAGATGGAGAATGGATCGAAGGTGAAGAATGGATCGCACGCGGGTGGGGTGGCTAGCCCCGGGGCTAGTCCCTGGTTCAAACACAGCCCAGGTCAGCAGCAACTGCAAGCCGTTCCCGTCTGGAGCCCGTGTGTGAAATGAGTTTGTCTCAATCCAGCTCCTAGCACAAGAGGCGTCCACAGCACCAGTGCCTCAGCAGAGGGCGCTGGAGACTGGCCAGCCTCTGTCGGGACTGACGCAGGTTGCAGGGAGCTTGCTCTGCTGCTTCTGGGGCAGAGGAGAGACCAAGGTCTCCAGGCTGCAGGGCTGGCAGCCTGTCACAGATTCTTCAAGGAGCAAGGAGAATTGATCAGGGGAGTGAAATATGCATGTTGGAAGGGCATGCATGGCCAGTGGGTGTGTCTGGCAGAGGCTGGCACCCTACCCCTCACTAGACTCTGCATGGGGGTCTGGGTTGGCATGTTTGTGCCAGGGCACTTCGGGAATATGCTTGTCTGTATCTGTGTGTGCACATGTGTTTGCATGCATGAATATGCACATGAATGATCGCTAGTCATGTATGCCTCCATATGTGTCCAGAAGTACATGTGTGGTGGGGGTGCATAACTGTCTCCATGTCTCTGTGGATGAACGTGTGGCCCTAGCGTGTATGCTTGCGTGTGAGAGCCCGTGAGTTCTCAAGGCCTGTTTTGTAACCAGGCAGAGTGTGTGTGTGTGTGTGTGTGTGTGTGTGTGTGTGTGTGTGCAGTTCATTATTTCAGCCCTCTGGCTGGGCTCCCTCTCCCTGGAACGCGTCCTCACTCTGGAAATGTCACTGGAAACTCTGAATGGCCTTTCGCCGGCTCCGGATCCATGTTTGTTTTAATTGCAATGCTGCACAGTGCTGCCAGCTTTCCAGATAAGCCGGGAGGGACAGTGGTGGCCTGGGGAGGGAAGGGAAGGGAAGGGAAGGGACAGAGTTCTTAGGCACTCTGTGGGCAGGCCAGAGGGGATTTGCTCAGCTGCTGACCTTGCTAGGGTCACTAAAACCCCGGAGCAATGGGCAGCTTGTCCTCAGTGACTTTTCCCTGCAAATTCTCTGCTCCTCGGAGTGTGTCCCCTTGCGTCACTATCAGTCTCTGATGCTTGCTGGCAGGGGACATCCAGCCCTGGGAGAAGCTGTCTCAATCCCACAGAGTGTGTGAGTGAGGGAAGGCTCTCTCTGGGGCTTCCTCAAAAGAGGGACTTTTCCCATGCTGCGGGCTAGCTGCAGGAGCATGGTGCTCGCTGGCGGGATGCCCCTGGAGCAGGGAGGGCCAGCTTTCCCTCCATCCCCTGGTGTCAGAGGGCATGTTCCTTCTCCTCGGATTGTTTCCCCTCCAAGTTTGCTTGTTTTTCTGGTGTGTGTGTGTGTGTGTGTGTGTGTGTGTGTGTGTGAGTGTGAGTTGCTCCCCCTGCAGCTTGCAGCACGACTATTAGATACAGAATCCCACACACTCAGCCCAGCGCTGCCCTCCCACTGCACCGTACTGCTGCTGGGAGCCAGCCCTTCGGACTCACTGCCTGGGACTCGGTCAGCGTGGACAGCTGCCACCCGGGTGCTGCTAACCGTCCTAGCGTGGGAAGTGCCCTGCTCTCTGGGGATGTTGGACGGAGTTCCTTGCCAGGCTCCTCTCGGAAGGTAGGGAGCTGCCTTCTCTCTCTGCAGTGTGTGTGTGTGTGTAGGGGGGGTGTGGATGTAGGGGGGGGGGTATATCGGCCAGGACGGGGGTGGAGGGAGTGGAATTCTGATCACGGGAACCCTCCTATTCGTAAAAAGCCAAAGGCATGAAGGTTTTTAGATCAATCTTTATCAGACACCCCGTGCCCCCGGGTGGTGCGATTCGAGCCCAGCCTGGATTCCCTCCTGCACCAAACTCTGCAAACTCTCAGCTCCCCACAGCTTTGGGGAGAGAGACCAGAGCTGCAGGCGGTTTGTGTGCAGAAGGACCGGAGCCATGAGTACACTCAAGCCTGGAGCATGAGTACACTTGCAAACAGAGCTTCTGATGTCTTTTGCCTCTGCCTGTCTTATTCCTGGATTATAGGGTACATGAGCAGAAGGGAATGGGGTCCAGTGGTTAGAGCAAGAGGGACTGGGAGTCAGGATGCCTGGGTTCTCTTCCCAGCTCTTCGGGAGGAGTGGTTAGAACAGGGGGCTAGGAGTCAGAACTCCTGAGTTCTTTGCTCGGCTCTTGGAGACAGCGTGATCTAGTCGGAGGCTGAAAGTCAGGACTCCTGGGTTCCTTTCTGTAACCGTGGGCAAGTCACATCTCCCCTCTGTGCTTCAGTTTCCCGCATACAAATCAGAGATTATAATAATCCCCACTTCACAAGGGGGCTGGGAGGTGCCGTTTACTATTGATAATGGTGATTCTTGTGTTTCCAACATGACTCTCAGTGCACCATGCAACTGAAAATAACAGCGCTCAGCATGTCTCCAGCCCAGCACCCTCTACCCCAGGCTGTCAAAGTGCTGCACCCAGAAACCACAACCCCCCTCTCGTTCTCATTAAAAAGAACAGCCAGAGGCAGTGTAGTCCAGTGAGCAGGGCACTAGACTGGCTCTCAGGACACCTGGGTTCCATTCCCAGCTCTGCCACTGACCTACGGTGTGATCTTGGGCAAGTCACTGCCCTGTTACTCTGCCTCAGTTTCCCCTCCCAGACTTTCTCTTGTCTGTTTAGGCTGAAACTCGTCAGGGCAAGGACTGTCTCTAGATATGTGTGTACAGCACCTGGCACAGCTGGAGTGGGGGGAATATAGTTCTCATTATCCTTTTTTTGAGTCTTGCTAAGTTCTAGGTCTCTGTGATATCTGTGGCTGTGAGCAGATTTTCCTTTCATCGTTTATAAATATGCTGCCTTTCAGTTTCATTGCCCAGGCCTCTGATCATGTATCATGAGGAAGGGTAAAGAGGGGCACCCAATCTCCCCTCTCTCTGCCATTTAGCTACCCGCCCCTAGCCTGTCCCCTCTGACCCATCTGCTCTGTTAACTGACCCATCTTTGCAATCTCTCTTCACACAGGAATCTCTCCAGCCCCCAGCCCCTCTATCTGCTCTTTCCTGATCGAGATGGGTGACCAGAGCTCAGCACTCCAGCTAGGGACACCCCATTTATAATGGCATCATAATAGGGTCGTCTCCTTTGGTTTGCTCTTTGGACTTACCCCTTAATTGGGCCCAGTATTGGTAAAGTGCTTTGAGATCCTTGAGTGCCAGTCCCCGGAAAGGAGCGAATGGTAGCGATTATTATGGCTCAGCGTTAAGCTGTCACATTGCAAGCTGTGGGGGTGGCGGCTGGGTGGGGAATGGAAATGTTCGAGGGGACGCCAAAGGGAAAAATGCTTCGCTGGCTCTCAGAGAGCTACGCTGTCCCCATAATTGCATCCAGACTCTTGCACGCCCCAAGCAAAGAGTGATGCAGGCTCTCTGCATTTGAGCCAGGCACAGCCTGGATTTCCTGGCAGGGGTCTGAAGGTAAAGTGTCGGGCACTAATGTGAATAGATGCCCCACCCAGCAACCTAGCTCTGGGGAGAGAGTTTCCTTTCTCAGAGTGAGGATTGCAAGGGGCAGATAAACGCACTGGGCTGGCACCATGAGAATTAGACTTTTGCACTGTGATAGAGAGCAGTGCAAGCACTGGGTGGGCACGAGGATGGTGAGAGTGGCGTGGGCACCGGCTAGGCATGGGAGCCGTGAGAGTTGAAGAGTACGTGGCTAGCTGCCCCAGGGTGAAAGCACAGAGAGGGGCCCTTTCTGCAGGTTGCGTTCCAGCCCGTTCCTCCTCAAACCTGGTGCTCCCCGCTGTGTGCCAAGCACCAGCGTTGCCTTGGCACCCCTTGGTGCAGAGGCCTCTGTGCCAAATCCCCATGGCACCCCCTCACCCAGCTGCGTCCAATAGGATGGGAACGGTGCCCTCTACACCAGGGAGGGAGTGGGCCGGAGAGCAAGGACCCAGGCTGGGCCTTGGACCGAGACCCTGGCCAGGGCTGGTTCTGGAGAAGGAATCTCCCCTCCTCCACCGCAAATGCCTTTGTCCTGTGCTGTAACAAAGGCAGCCTCTACAGAGAGGCAAGAGGCTGGCAGGGCCTCAGGGAGAGAGGGGGGCAGCAACTGGCCTGAGGCTGCAGTTCAGAGCCCGTCCTGTCCTCTCCGGCTCAAGGCGCTGGCAACCTGCACTGCAGGGCGCTCCATGGCCTGGGGATTCAAAGCCAGGAGCAGCCAGAGATCAGCAGCTGTTAAAGGTCAACTGCAAAGGGTTCATCGCTGCCCTCTCAATGCCTGCCCGGTTCTGGTTGGGTCATGTAGGGGTGGCTTGGAATGGTGAGTGGGTGATGGGGACCTCATGGGAGAGAGGGGTGCAAAGGGGGTGGATGGGCTGGGCTGGGGAGCAGGGTTGGAAAGGTTATAGGAAGGGGTGCAGTGGGGTTGGAGGTGGGGTGCAGTGTGGGGTGGTTATAGGAAGAGGTGCGGTGGGGTTGGAGGTGGGGGACGGGGAGCAGTCCTGTGTGGGGTGGTTATGGGAAGGGGTGCAGTGGGGTTGGAGGAGCGGGATGGGGTGCAGTGTGAGGGAGGAGATGGGGAGGTGAGGGAGCACTGTAGAGGAAGAGGTTGATGGCTCAGGTGACCAGGTAAGTAGTTCTTGGATCAAGACAAAGGCCATGCTCCAGTGCAGGGGGCAGTGTGGAGTTTGTATGGCCGCAGCACCCCCGGCATGTTCGAGTGCTTCACAAGTGTTAACTCATTACCTCTCACAACCCCCTTGGGCCCTGGGGAAATAAATACTATCCCCATTTCACAGATGGGGAAACTGAAGAAAAGAGAGGGAACGTGACTGGCCCAGGGTCACTCAGTAGGTCAGTGGCACAGCAGGGAAAGGAGTTCTGGATCCTAGCCCCTTCCTCTAACTCGCTGGAGCCCACGACTCCTCCCTGAGCTTGGAGTAGAACCCAGGAGTCCTGGTTCTGTTGTATGTTGAGCAGCTCAGTACCTAAGGGGCAGTGAGAGTGAGAGGCTGATTAAGGGACCTGTGTGCTGCTTGGGAAGAGCGGAGCAGCTGGAGAGACACTGGGACACATTCCCCCTTTCCTGCTCCCCCACCCTGGGTGCAGTGCCAGGCCCGGCTCTGTTTTATAGCAGTGACTCATCCCCTCAGCCCCAGAGCTGGTGGGTTGTCCCTCCCCTCCGGATTGTTCTCCTGCTCCAACACGCTGCTCCAGCCCCCTCTCTCTGGGCCTGCCTTTCTCTGCAGTGTTTGCACTGGGATGGTACTTGGCTCTGGAAATATTTGCACACCAGCGGCACTCCAAAAGCTTCACCCTCCCCCACCCGCACCCCCCTGCAGGGCAGCATTCTCCTGCCAGAGCTAAACCAGTGCATCGAGTTTCATCCAGCCTGAGGGACTATCCCTGGAGTCGGGGGGTGCCCAGCTGGCAGGATGGGGGTGCTGAGGTTAAAGGAAGGGGTGTCCCCTCCTAGTAAGGGGAGCAGGGAGGTCAGAGTGAGACTCATGGGGAAGGCACTGCTCAGATCTTGGTGCCAGGGCTCCTGCCCACACTGGTCCGGGAACAGTGAGCGCATGTCCTAGTCATGTGGTTTCCGTGCACTGGAGACTCCAGCTCCACACCTGCACCTCACCCCAGCAGTGGGGGAGACTTGGCCCTGTGCCAGCAAGCAGACCCCCCCCAGCCTGAGCTGGAGCTGCAGCTCCAGGCACGGATGAGTTGGTGGCAACCTCAGATGCTGGTGGGGAATAACGGATCCTCCTTGTGGTCCTGCCCCTCCACTCTGCCCTGGGCATTGGCATCTGCGTACCCCCCTGGGGTCGTCCCCTTCCCGGCCTCTGAGCAAGGCTGCAGGGAGGGAGCAGCAAGCTGGCTGGGAACAGAGAGAGAGAGAGACTGGTCTGCATTAAGGACCATGTCTGGGGAGAAGGCTTTTTGCTGAGACATTAATGTCCACAGGGGAATCCCAGCTGGGTTTGTTGGTGGTTGGAAGTTGGGGGCAGATCTGGCCAGAGTCTCTTTCCCTCAGGCTGGTTTCTTCCCTTTCCCTCTTCTCCCCGTCTCGCTCACTCCCTGCTGAGTTAACAGCCACAGTGCCAGAGACATCTGGGCTCAAGGATGCAGGTAAAACTGAGGGTGGGAACTGGCAGCTGCATCTCCCTGTGTGCTGCCAGAGAGCTGCCAGTGTGGGCGAGGGAGATAAAAGAGACAGGGTGAGTGTGTGTTTGCGTTTAGGGCTTTACTAAACAGTGGCAAACAGATGCAACCACAAATACTACAATATTTTGGTGTCTGTTTCCGTCAGTTACTAATGGGTTTTGGTTCTTCTCTTTTGTGCAGTATTGCATTATGTACACGTACTCACATACAGTAGTATGTGATCATGTCATTAAAGACAGGAGGGACCCTTTAGAGCCGCCACGCAGATGTCTGCTGCTTGAGCTAACAGAGTGACCGATAGCAGTAGTAGGCTGTCATCCTCCAGGTGGACCAGGACTCTTGGGTTCCATTCCAGGCCCTGGAGGGGAGCGTGCTGCAGCGGGCCCTTTCCCCTCCAACCTGTCCCAGTCCTGTCTCTTCTGCACCCCTGACTCCTCATCCCATTCCCACTCTATTCACCTCGCCAGTCCCAGTCTCCACTACTCAAGCTTCTCATCCCCATCCGAGTCTCCTTGCCCAGCCCTTCCCAGTTCACCCTTCCACCCCTTGGCTCCTTAAAGCCCCTGGCCCAGCCAATCCCAGTTGCGTCCTCCTGGCTCCTCATTCACTCACCCCCGCACACCGATGTTCCCCTTTCCCACTGGCTCCCAGGCTCCTTGTCCAGTCTCCATATCCTCACTTCAACCTGGCTCCTTCTCCCCGGCTCTTTGTGCACAGTTATTTTAATCCAGCAACTACAGGGTTAATGAGTTGTTGCCCGCACATGTGCTGGGCTGGAGTCCCATGTGAGCGGCTGTGTTTCTGTTGGCTGGAAAAGCCTGGGAAACCGTGTATTTCCCCCTTAGGTTGCAAGGTTTTCAGGGCAAGGCTCTGTCTGCTAAATGCCGAGCGCCCTGTGGATGCTATATAAATAACACCAAGCTGTTGCATCTGGTGTTCTAGCCTGCACCTATGCTTGTTGTGCCGACCACTGGGCGGCCAGGGCGGAGAAGAGTCTGAAGTGGATTTCTGCTCCGTGCGGAATGGGCATGGCTGCTGGGGAATGGCGCCAGGTGTGTGTTTGGGCCCCCGGCTTCTCCTCGGCCCCTGCTCCGTGAGCCCACGGCCCTTCTAGCTGTGGTGCAGGGCTCCGTCCTGAGCAAGAGGGTTTCGGCGATGGGTCTGCGCTTCCCACTCCATCGAACTTAGCCTGGAGGTCGGGGCTCTCCTCGTCCCATCTCAGCCCCGCCTCCTGCCCGCCATGGACAGACGAGGGGCTGGAATCTGCCCACAAAACTCCTAGCCAAGGGGGGTGCCCCAGAGACAACAGGGGGCCCCCAATGAGTGGCACTGCCTTAATTGTGCTGGCTTAGCTCCATGCTCAGCTCTGCCAGTCGGGGCTGCCTCCAGGAGGGGACTGTCACCTCGCTGGCCTTCCCCAGGCTTGGAGAGGGACAGGGGTGTTGCGATGCTTTTGCAGGTGGCTGCTGAGCCTGGCGTGGAGAAAATGGGGGGGGGGGCTAACACGGGAGAGGTTGAGGGAATGGGGAAGGCTCCTCAGGAGGGGCTTTGCTGGGAACCCCACAAATCCCGGGGCAAGCACCAGAGCAGGGCAGGGAAACCAGGCCCCACAGTGCAGGGCCAGGGCCCTATCTCTAGAAAGGCCGGGTGTCACCCTCTGGGGGTGCCCATCAGGCAGGGCCGAGTGACCCTCCGACTGCTCTGGCTGTTCCGAGCCCTCCCTGGATTGTTCCCCGTGAGCCCCGGCCCCAGACACGGCCCCCTCCCTTCTGTTAACCCAGTGCTGCCCCCAGACGGCTCTGCCACTCCCACGATGGTGGAGCCCGGCAGCAGCTCCGACTGTAGCTTGTTGTTCAGGGCTGAATACAAGGCCGTGCCATTGTCATAGCAGCAGGGAATGGCCAGACACAACGTTCGCGCTGGCAGGGAAAGGAGGTAGGCCCTGACCTCGCGGTGGACCCCCACCAGTCACGGTGGCGGGGGGGTTTGTTTCCCAAGAGCGGAGTGTGCAGCGCTGACGGGCTGTGGCCAGGATCTCTCTGGAGCTGGGATTTAGAGGCTCTCCCCTTCTGCCTCCCTCGTCTGGGGAGAGTTGTAGCTGGGAAGGAAAGAAACTGAAGCCATTCCAAATCCCATGCTGCCGCCCGCCAGCACTGTTGGATTCCCGCACCCTGAGAGCCCCAGTTTGCCTCTGCATGCAGGACTCAGCAGGTTCGCAGGCCCTGATCCTGCTGTCTGTGGGGCCACTGCTGCTTCATTGGCTCTTGTCTTGCCCTCGGAGTGTGACGCTGCAGCCCCAAAGCCCTGGCTGGCTACTGGCTTGGTGCCGTAGGCGCCCTCGCCAGCCTGAGTGCTCGGCGGCCCTGGTAGAGGCATGAGGCTGCCAGGCAGTGAATCCGGCCTCTGGATGGGGGTGGAATGAACAGGGACAGGCAAGCTGGACCCCAGTTTCCCGACCAGCGAAACCCATGTCTGCTCTGCCATGTCTCCATCCTGGCTCAGGCTCAGGGCCGCGGCCACATCTCTTTCCCTCTGTGTTGCAGAGCCCTGCTGTGCTGACCCCTGTGCTCCACCCTCCCGCCCCGTGGTTCCGGGCAGCTGAGAGGCATGAGACAGCAATGGCGTTCCAGGCAGCCGGATCTGGGACACTGCAGCCCCGGAGCGTAAGGCGTTGATTCCCCTGAGCTCCTGTTGTTTTTACCATCGCGGGGTCGATGTGCGAATAACAGGAAACGCTCCCAAGCAGCCCACGCAGTGGAACTGGCTCCCCTGGGAAGCCTCTATACTACAGTCAGTGTAGCGAGAGCCATCTGCTGGGAATGGTCCTTTGCTGGGACAAAGCAGGCCCTAATAGATCTTGGCCTGGCAGCCAGGACTCCTGGGTTCTATTCCCGGCTCTGCCACTGACTCCCTGTACGCCTGGGTGCTCCAGCCACACCGTACCTGCTTGAGGTCTCTCACCCCTCGCTGCGCCTGTCGCCAGGTGCTCAGTGCTGATGGCACGGGGCTGCTCATGGGCGGGCAGTCGGATTGGGGCGATGGTGGCTGCAAAGCGAGGTGGCGAGGGAACGCCTGCTCAGGAGTCAGAGCGTTGGGCCTCTGTCCCTTCCCAGCTCAGGGCCCCGGCGGGGATGGCTCAGGGGAGTCCCATCTTTGTTCCATACACAACAAACACAAGGTGTGGCCCCCAGCTCAGGAAATGGAGGGAGGGGACTGTAGGGCAGGCCTGAGAGGCATCAGCAGAGCTGTTTGACGCGGGGAGCTCCCGGCTGGAATAGCAGGAGGGGCTGAGGGTTGGGACTGAGGGACCCACGGGAACCGGGAGGGGGTCCAGAGCTTGAACGGGGGTGGGGCACTGCAGGACAGGACCGGCAGAGCTGGGCTGGAGACCCAGGGCTGGAACAGGACGGAGGGGCACTGGCTGGGTGTTGGTGCACGGTGGTAGAAACGTGCCCAGCACCTGGCTCTGTCAGCCTCCTGCTCTCATCAACAGTGAACTCATTCCTGCCCCTCCCACAGGTGCGACCCCTGGAACCTCTCCTGCATGGCTGGGGACCGGAGCCTGCTGCGCAGAAAGCACTGCTCCTCGGCAACGTCTCTCTTCCCGCGCCCCTGCAGGGGACATTCAGGGCAGCTGGGAATCCCCATCTCTGGGAGAGACACGGTGTACATCCAGCAGGAGCAGGGGGCAGCGGCTGCTTTCCCCACAGTCTCTCCTCTCCAGTCCCCCATGCCACGGCAGGGGGTTGCCTGAACCCTGAGGGGCCCCGGGGCCCCAGCTTGGAAGACTTCGTCCCATCCCACTTCCAGAAGAGGGAATTCCTTCCTGCTGCCAGGAGCCCGGCAGCCCCCACGGCCACATCCCCTCAGCCATCCATGTGGGTCCCGCTGCGACACAGAGGACCCAGGGTGAGTGAAGCCTGCCCTGTCTGGAGCGATGGCATGCCAGCCCTGGGAGCTGGGGGTGCTGCTTACACAGCATGGCTCAGTGGTGTTGGAGTCAGAGCCACCTAAGCTAGCAGCCCTGCTGGGTCTCTGGCCCAAAGACAGAGATTGACCTCACAGGGACAGCCCAGGCTTCCCCCACACACTGCCCCACCCAAGTGCCTCACCCCAACCCTCAGGCCCATTCAGCCCTTGGCCCTTCCCCGGGGCTGCCCATGAAGGGGGTGACTGATGCCGATGGGGACGGTGGCCTTTGTGTTGTAGATGCTTCGCCCACTGGACTGAGACCCACCCAACCAGCCTCTCCCAGGGGCCGCCGAGTGGTCGTTGGACAGCGATGGGTTTTGGTGCCGGCCAGCCTAAGCCGGAGTTGAACCGATGACCTGGGGTCGGAAAGCTCAAGGGGGAGTCTCTTTGCTATGCAGTGTTGGGGCCCATGTCTGAGGAGGGATGGGCAGGAGACACATTCAGCCCCCACTCGAAGTCCAGACTCCTTCCCCACCTGTTGTTGTGTACGGCTAGTTCCAAAATCAGAGAGGGGAAACTGAGGCCTCAACTTCTCTGGCACCTGCTGCCTCCTAATCAGCCCAGCACCTGCTCCCTGGCACCCAGTGTGCTGTGACTCCTCTGCCCCTCAGCTCCCCCATGCCTGCTGTAACCCACACTTCCCAGTGCCCTCTGTGCCCTGACCCCTGACTCCCCTGCACCCAGACTCCTTCGTGCCCACTGTCTGGGCCCTGCTGCACCCTGCATAGCAGAACCATGTTGTTTTCCTCCCCCATAGGTGCCCGTGATCCATAACTGCGGCTCCAACACCCTGAACTTTGAGTTCCGTGACACGTCTCCCTGCAACGGCACTGCCGAGCCTAGGAGAGCTGCCCCCAGGAGCTCAGGTAACTCCAGCCAGGGACGGTGGCCCACAGTGCTGGGCTCAGAGGCCCAGGAGAGCCCCTTCTGTCTCAAAAGCCCTTCCAGCCAGCCCCGTTTCTGGGGACCATGGACCGTGTGACTGAAGGCCCAGATCTCAAGGTGCAGCTGTCTCAGTGCATCCCCCTAGGAGCGGCCGTCTGCCTGCAAGCCGGAGGTCCCAGGAAAGGGCGGAGCACAGAGCATTCTCAGGGGCTGAGAAGCAGGAGAAGCTCAAATCCAGGCCGCTCCCTGCGCCAGGTTTAGGCCCAGCTCCTCTCCCAGACCAGCCCTGACTAACGAAGCAGGGGGCAGCCTGGGGCAGCCACCGAACTCAGCCAGCCTGGGGAGGCACCTCTGGCAATGTGCTGGGGGCAGGGAGAGAGGTGTGGCCCCTTAGTGACAGAATGGATGTGTCCCCTTCTCGAGCTGGATAGTACCGAGCAGTCAGGGGAGCCGGGCACATCCCCACCTGGAGCAGCCCATCGCCACCACAGCCCTGCCCCCAGAGCTCACAGAGCAAGGACTGAACCCAGCCTCGGATTTGCCTTTCCCAGCACTGCATTTAAAGGGTGGTGGGGAAGAGACACTGAGTGGGGAGCTGAGGCCTCCCATTAAAAATAACATGGCTGTTCTGGGTTCCTTGGACTCCTGGCCCCACATCTGGACACTTGGTGTGGCAGTCTGTCTGTCAGCCCGTGTGTCTGTCCAGGGGACGTGGGCCTTGCTGTCAGTGGGGCTGCCATTGTGCTCACCACCAAGCACCTCTGGCATAGCAGGACCCATAAGTCTTTGACTGACCATGCCCTGAACCCCATCTCTCTGTCTGTCTCTCCCCGCCTTGCTTGCAGTGAGCGACTGGTACCAGACCTGGCCTGCCAAAGAAACGAAGACGCTGAGTTCTCAGGCAGTGCCTGTTCCCCTCCCGGCTGGGTCGGCAACGAGCCCCCTGGAGAACGGCCCTCCGCCTGTGCCCCGCGCAGCCCCCTGGTCTGCCACCTGGACCAAGGATAGCAAGAGGAAGGACAAACGATGGGTGAAGTACGACGGGATCGGCCCGGTGGATGAGACAGGGATGCCGATCGCATCACGATCCGTGAGTCCAGAGAGGGAGTGGATTTAACGGGCCTTTAGAAACCCCACTGCTGGGCTGGGCTGCGGGGAAGGGAAGCATGTAGGAGGTGCTGGCCCCTCGCACTCGGTTCTGATCCCAGTGCCCTAGTGCGGTGCAAAGGGGGGCAGTGCTCCAGGGAAGGGGGCTCTGGAGGAGGCACTCTCCCCTTGCAGCCAGTGCTGACCCCAAGGCCCTAGGGGGCACAAGCTGGTGCTGTGCCCCAGGAAGTGGGGTGGGAGGATCAGTAGGGGGCGCTGTCCCCTGGGAGTCCGTACTGACCTCAGTGTCCCAGTGTAGTGCTAGGGGGCGCTGTGCTGCAGGAGGTGGCATCTTATGCATACGAGTTAAATGCAAAAAGAAAAGGAGTACTTGTGGCACCTTAGAGGCTAACCAATTTATTTGAGCATGAGCTTTCGTGAGCTACAGCTCACTTCATCAGATGTGTACCGTGGAAACTGCAGCAGACTTTATATACACACAGAGAATATGAAACAATACCTCCTCCCACCCCACTGTCCTGCTGGTAATAGCTTATCTAAAGTGATCATCAAGTTGGGCCATTTCCAGCACAAATCCAGGTTTTCTCACCCTCCACTCCCCCACACAAATTCATTCTCCTGCTAGTGATAGCCCATCCAAAGTGACAACTCTCTACACAATGTGCATGATAATCAAGTTGGGCCATTTCCTGCACAAATCTAGGTTCTCTCACCCCCTCACCCCCCTCCCAAAAACCACACACACAAACTCACTATCCTGCTGGTAATAGCTCATCCAAAGTGACCACTCTCCCTACAATGTCCTGGCCATCATTTGACACCTGGCTGGGGCCAGTTTCCCTGCCCCCCACCAGCCGTGGCATATCGACCCCGCTGTAGCTTTCTGCTCCCCGCTAGTCTCCTTGCTGCCGGGCTGCTGCTCCTGATGCCTTGTGTGTTTGCTTCCCACGGCAGAGTGTGGACCGGCCCCGGGACTGGTACCGGAGCATGTTCCAGCAGATCCATCGCAAGCTCCCGGGTAAGGTCACCTCCTCCCTCTGCAAACCTTGGAGCCACACGCTGGGTGCAGGGGCCTTCCTGCAGCAGCTCGGCTAGAGCGAGGCCACGCACCTCTCGTGCCCTCCCACGCTCCCCCCCCCCCGCATGGTATGTAACGAGTCAGTGTCGTTCTGCCCTCTCCCCTGCCACGTGTCTGTCCTTATCCTGGGACAGAGGTCAGGGACCGACTAATCCCCACCGCCCCACTCCCCTGCGCCTGTTCCTGGCCACATCCCTGCTGCTCCCAGAATTCCCATGCGCCTCCCCCCCTGCCCTGCTTGCTGGGTGGGGTGAGGGAGCCTGCCTCCCAGCAGACAGGGTAGGGAAGATCCCAAGCTGGGGTGCTTATTTCTGCACCCCCAGCGTGTGCCACACCAGACGTTGCCCCATCCGGGAACCTGCTCACACCAATCTCCCTCCTCTTCCAGAACCGCAGCTGGACTGGGATTTCCACCACTGCGTGGGTAAGCATCACAACCTGCTCGCTGGGGCTGGGAAGTATCAAGTCCTTTAACATCGGGACAGAGAACAGGGCCTGGGGATCCCCTCACCCCTCTCTGCAACCACTGTTCATAGAGAGCAGGGCTTGGGGCCTTCCTAGGGACCACAGCTTCCTGCCCCCCTGTTCATAGAAAACAGGGGTTGGTGTGTCCATAGGGATCTCAACTCCCCTCACGAGTCCCTGCCCCCATGTTCACAGGGAGCAGGGCTTGGGGTGTTCGTAGGGGAAGGCCCTCACCAGGCCCTGCAGCCCCCTGTGCACAGAGAGCAAGTGGCTGGTGTTTCAGTTCTCTACACTCGGGGTGGAGTGTTGGGCTCTGGGATGGTGCCCTGTGGGAGGGCACAATCCTTTGCCTGGCCCTCCAGGAGTCTGCGCCGCACCCCTTTCCGCACTGGGCACTGACCCGTTTGTCTCCCCCAGAGCCACGCCCTCCGGCGCTTGCACAAAAGGGCCCCGCTCCAAGTGGCTCCCCTTACCTGCAGAATGGCCTGGGCTGGTGAGTATAGACGTGGGAGTGCTTGGTGGGACGGGACATGCACACCTCTCCAGTGGGGAGGAGCAGCAAGCCAGAGGTGCGGAGGGGAAGAGCCAGGCCTCTAGGCTGGTATCCCTGCCCCGGAATAGATCAAGGACTCATTGGTTCAGTGTCCCACTTCCTGCCACGCCAGATCAAATAATTGACCAGGCAGCTCTGCAATCTAACCTGGTGCCAGGCTGGAACAGACCAGTGGCCGATCTAGCCAGCTATCCTGCCTCTGACAGTGGCCAACGCATGATGGTTTAGAGACGAGTACAAAACCCTTCCTGTGCCACCCCAGTGTTCATTATCATCTCCTGTGAGGACATAACTGGCTCTGTGGACGAAGGAAAAGCAGTGGACGTGTTGTTCCTTGACTTTAGCAAAGCTTTTGACACGGTCTCCCACAGTATTCTTGCCAGCAAGTTAAAGAAGTATGGGCTGGATGGACTATAAGGTGGATAGAAAGCTGGCTAGTTTGTTGGGCTCAACGGGTAGTGATCAATGGCTCCATGTCTAGTTGGCAGCCGGTATCAAGTGGAGTGCCCCAGGGGTCGGTCCTGGGGCCGGTTTTGTTCAATATCTTCATAAATGATCTGGAGGATTGTGTTGATTGCACCCTCAGCAAGTTTGCAGATGACACTAAATTGGGAGGAGTGGTAGATAAGCTGGAGGGTAGGGATAGGATACAGAGGGACCTAGACAAATTGGAGGATTGGGCCAAAAGAAATCTGATGAGGTTCAACAAGGACAAGTGCAGAGTCCTGCACTTAGGACGGAAGAATCCAATGCACCGCTACAGTCTAGAGACCGAATGGCTAGGCAGCAGTTCTGCAGAAAAGGACCTAGGGGTGACAGTGGACGAGAAGTTGGATATGAGTCAACAGTGTGCCCTTGTTGCCAAGAAAGCCAAGGGCATTTTGGGATGTATAAGTAGGGGCATTGCCAGCAGATCGAGGGACGGGATCGTTCCCCTCTATTTGACATCGGTGAGGCCTCATCTGGAGTACTGTGTCCAGTTTTGGGCCCCACACTACAAGAAGGATGTGGAAAAATTGGAAAAAGTCCAGCGGAGGGCAACAAAAATGATTAGGGGACTGGAACACATGAGTTATGAGGAGAGGCTGAGGGAGCTGGGATTGTTTAGCCTGCAGAAGAGAAGAATGAGGGGGGATTTGATAGCTGCTTTCAACTACCTGAAAGGGGGTTCCAAAGAGGATGGCTCTGGACTGTTCTCAGTGGTAGCAGATGACAGAACAAGGAGTAATGGTCTCAAGTTGCCGTGGGTGAGATTTAGGTTGGATATTAGGAAAAACTTTTTCACTAGGAGGGTGGTGAAACACTGGAATGCGTTACCTAGGAAGGTGGTGGAATCTCCTTCCCTAGATGTTTTTAAGGTCAGGCTTGACAAAGCCCTGGCTGGGATGATTTAGTCGGGGATCGGTCCTGCTTTGAGCAGGGGGTTGGACTAGATGACCTCCTGAGGTACCTTCCAACCCTGATATTCTCTGATTCTCTGATTCTATGCCTTTCTGGCCCCGGCTCTTGATCAGCTTGTACCCTGAAGGATGAGGACCAAGGGCCTTTCTAATCTGACCCTTGCTAGGGGTGCAGGTGCGGAGTCTCTTTGAATAAAGCGAGGAATCCATTTCAAACCACTGGCCATAGCAGCAACATCCTGCAGCAGTGTGTTCCACAGGATAACAGCACTGTGTGGAAAGAAATACCACCTCATCTATGCAGGCTTTTCCTGTTCTTTGTGCCCAGACAGGTGTGTCCCTGCTGCAAAGGGCAGGGAGGGACTCCTCCCCTTCCAAACAAACCCTCCACCAGCTTGGAAAATGAAGTTTGTTGGAGCTTCCCCCCCCACCACCACATGATTACACCCACCTGGTACCCAGCTTAGCCGCCATGGGGCAAAGCCCCCCTGCTTCAGAAGGGTCTGCAATGATGGGATGGCTGTTAAAGGAAAAATCTTGGTGTCTTAACAGCCACTCAAGTGCCTTTTACACTCCCAGCCCTGATGCCAGGGGTAAGGGCACCTGGAACCTGGGTGCTGAGCTGCCAGGGGCCGGGTGGGTGGCACTCCCTCCTCCGAGTCAGTGCTGATCCCAATGCCCCAGCATGGCCCTAGGGGTGTTGTGTTATAGGGGTGGGTGGCTCAGTAGGGGGCGCTCTCCCCTCGCAGTCAGCACTGGCCCCAGTGCAGCAGTAGGGGGGCCGTGCTATCGGGAGTGGGGTGGCCGGCTTAGCAGGGGGCGCTCTCCCCCTTGCTGATCGCAGTGCCCCAGCACAGCCTCTGTGCTGCAGGGAGTGGTGGGAGGGCATCTGCCCCTCCGTGTGGCCCGTGATCGGGAGGTAGGGGGCGTGCAGCCCTGTTGTGAGAGGGGTGAAGGGAGTAGCTGTGCCCTTTGCAAATGCCTTGGGATGCCCTTGGGAGCTAGGCAGCAGGGCAGAGCTGCACTCACCCCACTCCCTTTCCTTGCAGGAGGGGCCAGGAGGCAGCCAACGATGCCGCGATGGAGCCCAGGAGCATTTTCAACTACGAACCCGGGAAATCATCAGTCTTTGACCATCCCAATCCAGTAGGGAGCCTTCCCTGCCCGAGCACCCCCCGACCCCGTGCCTGTTCTGTGGGGGGGGGGAAGGGGCTCTTGGCATTTCCTTTGGCACAGACGTGTCTCCACACACCTTAGCTCCATTATACTGGCTAGCTCTTGGGCTGGGGGCATTTTCCAGGGGGTCTGCACTGACTCAGGACAGCCCGAGCGGGGAAGCGGAGCCCCGGCTGCTCTCCCTCTAGCTGCAGCGGTGTCTCCCTGCTGGAGAAAGCCGCACTGATCTTGTCAGACTCTTGGGATCCATCCTGGGTCGGCCCCTTGTGCCAGCACGGCTCCAGGGGTCGGCCCCAGAGCTGCAGCGGGCTGTTTGCCTTACTGTGTCCCGGTCCCGCCTGATCTCTGACTTGGAGTCCGGCTTGTGCTCCGTGCCACTGGCTGGGAAGGCGGGGAAGCAGAGCCTGAGGCTCCGTGGGCATGGGGGGTGACAGTGTGGCCCGGCATGACGGGTACGTGTGTGCACAGGACATTTAGCATGTCTGTGTACGTGTCTGCATGAGGCTGCCGGGGGACTATGTCATGTGCTTGGCGTGCCGCGCTGCATGCCCATGCATTGCTGGACGCTATCACTCGTGTGTGTGCATGGGAGGCTACGGGAGACCCTGCCATGTGCCTGGCTCCTGTGCAGGGCGAGATCCCCAGGCTGCGGCTCCGGGAGTGCTGGCAGGGGCCTGACGTAGGAATGTGCTCGTGTGGCTCTGTCTGTCCCAACTGCAGGCTGCAGAGCCCCTGGCGGGAAGTGCTGACAGCTGGTACCAATTTCTGAAGGAGCTGGAGACAGGGAGCCTGGTAAGAGCCTCCTGGTGCTCTTCCCCCCCGCCCCCAAGCTGCTATGGGGGCTGTGGGATTGAGAGGGCTGCTTGCCGCTATCTCAGGTCCCCCAGTGTCCCTCTACCCCCCGCTTCCTACCCCATCTCCTGCTATGTCCCATCAGTGTCTTCCCTCTGCAAGGGACTTTCCCTGCAGCCCCCTGAACCAAACCCAATCCCCCTCTCTGTGGACGCTGAAGGGGTCCTTTGGAGTGCCTGGCTCCCCTCACCTGTAGGCTTGTTCCATGGGATCTGAGTCCAGCCCCCCGTGACACCCCGCTGGCCTCGCTCAGTGTGCAGGCAACCCCCGCAGGGATGCGTCCCCCACACCAGCCCCTCCTAGAGATGGGCTGCTGGCTCCCTGCCCCACGCCCAGGGCGGGCTCACCACCCACCTTACATTGCAGGAACCCTGGGAGGGAGCGAGGTGGCTGGAGAACAGTCAGCGGGAGTGGCAGGAGCACCACCGGGGTGGGCCGGGGAGGGAATGATCCTGCCTCGCTCCCTGGCTGGAGCGGATCCACCTTCTTCCACTCCCTGCTAGAGCGGGTGCTTTGCTGACTGCTGCCCACTCGTTGACTTTTGCAGCCTAAGAAGCCCCTGGCAACGTTTCCTGTGGAGCCTCCCCCGCCATCCCAGCCAATCGAGGTAAGTGCCGTGCAGCTGTGACGGCCGGGGCATGTGCCGGGCACGCGCTAGCAAAGCCGGGGCTGCCCTCCGCCCTGGGGTGCAGCCCAGTGAGCGTGTGCTAAAGGCCTGAGGGGGGAAGGGGGTTGTGGCTGAGCGATGACCCTTCCCCTGCAATGTGCACTCCCAGCCCACCCCGCACAGCTGTTCTGCAGCTGTGTTTACTGGCTTCCATGGTGCTTTGTTTTTCCCCTCCCCCGCTTCCACGCCAAGGTCAGGCGGAGGTTTCAGTTGGTCAGCAAAGGCTCTGGTGCCGAAAGGGAAAGAGCCGCACCATGGGGCCACAGCGCCGGGGCATCCTCACCCCGTGGAACCTCCACGCCCCGTCGCCGTGGCAACGCCACACTGTGCCAGGGCGGTACCGATGCGCCTTTGCGGTGTCCTGGCGCTGGGGCACCATGCCGAAGTGCATCCCCGCCACCACCACCCCGGCACTGCCGGGCAGGGTCATACCCTGGCATCGGCCCCTCCATGAGAGCGACCGGGCAGTGTGCCGGCTGGGCCCTGACACACGCTGTCTCCATCTTCCCCCCAACCAGGTGTTGCTGGAGAGAGAGCTAAAGCAGCTAAGCGAGGAGCTAGACAAGGACATGAAAGCCCTGGAGACACATCGGCACCCTTGCAAGGTATCCCGCCTCCACTCCCCGGGGGCAATCCTTTCCGCATAGCTGTCCCTGCTTATTGCTTCCAGCTCCTGCTGACCAGCTGGCTCAGCTGGTGCCCTTTGCCGTCCACATCCTCTTACCTCTCCCACCCTGCAGGACTCGCCAGCGCCTCCTGGGGCCTGTGCTGATCACTGCAGAGCAGCAGGGACTGGTGTTTGTGAAGGGAGGGGTGTTTTTCCTCTTGACTTCACATCTCTGTGCTGGCTCCGCGTGTAAATGACATCCGTCGTGTCAGCACACGGCGCTGAGTTTGCATCCCAACAGAGGGCTGTCCGTTTCTCACCTCCCGCGAGCAGAGCTCCTGCTGGGGACTGGAACCACGCTCTACGGACATATTGGCCGTATTCAGCCCTAGCTCCTGATGTACTATCCGTACATACCCTTCCCCAGGATGTTAGCAGCCAGTGGGACACTGGCTTTCTTTTGAGACCTCGCGTGACGGTCTTTGGTGAACCACAGTGGACGTACCAAAAGCAGGATATACCTCTGGGCCCCCGTGACAGCTGGTGTTAAGAACTTCTTGGGTCGCAGGGATACAGGGCCTCTCCCCACCTCAGGGGGCACTGACTCTAATCCAGCCCCAGGTTGCGGGGCTGGCTGGCTCAGGGGGACAGGGAGGGGGGTCCACACGCTCACACACCTTCACTCTCCTCAGGAATCAGTCGCTTGGCATTGACCCTGTGCCCAGTGGAGGCGTTGCCAGCAGCTCTGCTCGCTGGCTGGGACAGGCGGGCAGCACCAGGGTAGCCCAGGACCGAGGGTAGGGGAAGCTCTTACAGACCCCGCCACCGGGGTGCGCAGGTCGCATGGGCCTGAATTGGCTGAGCTAATCCCCAGCAAGAGTCCGGGCACTCTGCGGGTAGCGGTGTCAAAGCCTCGTCCAGGCCAGGCGCTGCCCAGCCCTCTCTGCCAATAGCCATGCGGGGTACCCGGCTCTGCCTCTGGACTCACGCTGCTCTCCCTCCCTTCTGCCCCCAAAGGCAGGGTCTGTCTAGCTATTTTGTAACACCTGCCCGCCCCCGTAGGCAATTCTCTGTCTAATCTAATCTATCACCTATCCCCAGATACACTCTTCCTTTATCCACCTGTCATAGTTCTAACACACCGTCACCATAGCGTCAAGGCACTGTCCGTCTGTCCTCCGTCCATCTGCCAGCCTTGCCCTCCCTCTGCCCCCGACCCCAAAAAAAAGAATCGGTCCCAGATCCCTCATTCGCCCTGACAAACCCTGGGTTTGGATGGCAGCTTGGGAGCTTACAGGACACACCTCTGTCCCTCCCTGCCTGTCTGTCCATCTCTCTGCCTCCCCCTATCTCCATGGCCCTGAGCCCCTGGCCCTCTGTCTGCCTGCCTCCCTTGCAGTTGTCCCCCTGGCTCTGCAGAGGCCTTGGCCCCAAGACCCCCGGCCTCTCCCCCTCAGAGATGCTGGACTCTAGGACCCTGCTCTGGCCCCACTGGCTGGCTCTCCCTCCCTGCCGGATGGGCCAGTTCTCCCTGCTGGCTCCTTATTGGCTCCTCTCTGCCAGGACTTAGATCCCAGCTTCCCGCACAAGACAGCCTCTTGGATGATTAATTTTCTCTTTCCCCCCTTCTCTCGCTGTCTCTCCCTGCAGACTTCCTCGGCTGCTCCCTGCGCTTGCTCCCCTTGCCTGGACTCTGCCGCCCGGTGAGTACAGCCAGGTAAAGTGGGGCATTGGGGCTGGCATGCTGGGTGCCCCCGCCCAGGTGCGGCAGCCTTTGGTTAGCTGGCGTCATCCCGCAAGCAGCTCGGTCCGCCCAGCAGCCTGGGGCTGGTTAGCTCAGAGCGGATTACGAGAGGTGCAGAAAAGGGGGGAGCGAGGGAGAGCTGAAGGGATGAGCGAGCGAGGCAGAGAGAGAGGAAGGAAGGGTGTGACAGCAGAAGAGTGGAAGGAAAGAAGAGCCCCTTGCTCATAAGTTAAGCATCAAGAGTTAGGGCTCCTCGGAACCGCTTGTTCTGGGCAGCAGGGGTACAGGGTACAGGGGGTACAGCGGGGGTACTTGGGAAGGGATTGGAGGACCAGAGGATTGGTGGCAACTAGCAGCCGGCCTCAAGGGGCCGTGCGGGCCTCTATGCCAGGGTGCGCCTGGGTGAGCACACGCCTTCGAACACCCTGCTGCCTGGGCAGCCTGCTGCTCCCTGGCTGCAGCTCCCAGCCAGGTGCCTTTCCCGGGTCGCATGCCCCTGTTCCGGGGATTTTCCAGCCAGCCGGCTTAGTTCACATTGATCTCTGCCAGGTCCCACCCCACAGCAACGCAGATGTTTCCCAGCATAGGCGTGACCTGAGATCAGAGCCTGGGGTCTGTGCTCTTTCCATGCACTTTCATTTTGGAGCAGATCATCACATTCTTTCAGCGTGATCAGAATCCAGGGCGGTTCCCCTCCCTCTCTCACCATCAGTCACAAGGGCAGTGCCTACAAGGGGTTAAGCAGAATTCCCAGGAAACTTTCCCCAGAAGCCTCAGAGTCTGTCCCTGCAGCCACAGGAATCAAAAACAAACACTCCACTTGTAGGTCCTACCATAAACAATGGGCGGGTAGGCCCTGCAAGAAGCCAGGCCTTTGCTTTCCTTCCTGGGGGCTGCAGTGGATCCATAGGGGCCTCCCGGGGAGGAGGGCAGGGAGTAAGTCTCGAGGAAAGTCCACTCCCTGTCTAAGTCTTTGGACAAGGGGGGCATAGGGCAGGGTGGCCACCATCCGCCAGGTGTCCTGCTCTGCCATGCACCCTCTCCGGAGTCCCACTTGTTTTCCCTCAGCATCATTCAAGTGCCTGGGAAAGTGGTGCTGCTCCTTTAAGAATTCAAAGTTAAACTTTAGCCAAGTGGCTGTAGCCTGCCAACTCCTTGCTGCTGCTGCTGTCTCAGTTCCTGCCGTGGTGTACAGGGAAGGGAGGAACCAGCGCTACCCGCCTGGCTGCCAGGGTAGGAGGCAAACTTCGCGTACCCACTCTGGCTGAGGGGGGCAGGACATGCCGGGACCTGGCCAGGGGAATGGCCTGCAGGGGCAAAGAGAAGGAAGGGAAGTGGCAGGGCAGCTGCAAGGCAAGAACCCGGATTCCTGGCGTTCCCTTCCCCCAGCTGGAACTAGAACCCAGAAGTCCGGGCCCTGAGCTCCCCACCCTGCTCCTGGAGGTTCGAAGAGAACCCAGGAATCCTGACCCCCTAGCCCCCCACCCTAATCCACTAGACCCCACCCTGCTCCCAGAGCATTGAACAGAACCTAGGTGTCCTGACCCCCAGCTTTCTCCTGGTTTGGCTGTGGGTGAGATGTAGGGAGGGGTTGGCTCTCTGGGTGGGAGCAGGGTTCTGGCTCTTTTGGGGCCATGGAGGGAGGAGGGGAAGCAGGCTGAGAGTGGGGGCTGTGTCACGGGTTGCCTGGCAGCCAGGTTGGGCTGGGCCGGCTGCTCAGAGACTCCCCCTGGGCGGCTCCAGCAATGGGGCTGGTTTGTTTTCCATGGGCAGTGGAGGTGGGACCCATCAGAGACACACCCCGGGTCAGCTGCTCCTGGCCACCGCTCTGCACTGGTGAAGTAATGCCGGTGGGTGGCGTCTGTGACCTGGCATCCTGTTGGAACCAGCCCCCGGCTGGGCTGGGGGCACACTCTGCAGTAGGCTGCCTGGTAGCTCTCTCCCTTCCCAGACTGGAGCCCCAGTTACCCCGCTTCTGCCCCAGGAACCCACCCCTGCTGGGGGGGGGGGGGGGGACGCCATGCTGTCAGCACCCTGCTTATGTTACACCCCCTTGTACTCCCAAGCCAACCACCACTAGGCCCTTGGAATAGGAGGATCTAGCTGTTCCCGAAGGCCTGGCATCGGTCTGCAGGGGGGCTGTCTGGGCATGCAGGGTCTGTGTGTCGCTGCATGGGGTGTGCGTGTCTGTGAGTGTCGTGGGGGGTGCACATCCCGGCAGATAATCACTCCCTATGGGTCACTAGCCCTTGATTTCCTCTTGGGATCGGGCAGGGGCGCCCTGAGGTTTTGGGCCTGGTTATCCACAGAGGCCCATAGTCTCTCTGACTGACTCTCTGCTCCTGCTCCAGCAGCCCGCCGTCTGCCTGCCGTTCCCATCCTGCCTCGGGGCAGAGCCCCCCCACTGCCCACCACCGCCCACCTGCCAGCCCCAGCATGGAGAGAGGGGGCCTGGGCCTGGCCACGAGCAATTGGAGCAGGTCTCCCCTCAGGAAAGGTGAGGATCTCTGCACACAGGCATGTCTTCCGAGGAGCTGTACCCCTCTGCCCCCAGACCCTCGCTGCCGCTCATGCCTCCACTCTAGCGTTCTCCAATCTCTCCTTCACTCGTGCTGTTCTGTCTGCTGGGAATCCCCCCTGCAAACCATGGAGCCATTCCCCCCTCTTTGAATACTGCCTTGACACCTGCCTTTCCCCTTCCTCTTTCTCCCACCCAGCCTCCCCCTCTGGCTCACCTGTGGTCAGACCATGTGTGCAACACCCTACATGCACTGGTCTCATCCACCCCTCTGCACCCCAGTGGCTTCCCAGCTGCCCATGTCCTCAACCCAGCCATCTAAGGGCTCCTCCCTTTGAGCTGGGTTTTGGGGTGGGGGGGAAGGTAGCTGTACTCTTCCAAGCTCCACCCAAAAACCAAGCTCTGCCCACTGGAGTAGTGACCTAAGTAACTCTGCTGACACTTAAGTGACACTGATGGCATCCGAGCTAACCCGCTCTGCGATGAATGGGGCAGTTCGCCCATCTCAGACTGATTGTTTCAGGCTCTCTGCAGACTCAGGCAGATATCACTGCATTACCTGCGCGTGGTTCAAGTTTTCAAGGTTTTCTTCCCAACCACAAAACCATACTCCTTTTTTTACAATGAAAGTGGAGATTCTGGGGACCAAGGCAGCAGCTTGTGAGTGCACAGCTGTCTCCTGGCCCAGCCCAAACCCTGGCTCTGGGCCTATTGTGCTGCTCCACACGCATGGCCTAAGGGTGGATGGTGTCACAGAGAGAGAGCCAGTAATTTGGACACTGGCTGGTGTAGACAGTAGCAGAGCTCTGGTCATGTTCACTGGGGAGAAGCTGGATTGACAGAAATTAAGAAATTTGCTTATTTGAGTCTATTTTGGTAGATGCAAAGGAGTCTGTGTGGCTGTGAACTGTCAGAAGAATGTTAATAGGCAGTATAGGTGGATAGAGCACTGGACTGGAGCTCAGAAAACCTGGGTTCAGTTCCTGGGTTCAGTCTGTTGGGTGACCTCAGGCAAGTCACTTCTCCACTCTGCCTCGGTTTCAGGGTAAAATGGGGCTAATGATACTGACCTCCTGTGTGAAACGCGTTGAGATCTGAGATGAGCTAGGGGGGCTGGAGACTGGAGGGATGGGTGAGAATGATCGTCCTCAGCTTCCAGAGAGAGAGGAAGCAGCTCGTCCAAGTTCGTGGCAGAGCTGGGACGAGAACCAGGTCTCTTGACTCCCAGCCACCGGACTATGCTGCCCTGGTCCTTCCGTCTCAGCCGTGCGGTGCCCTCCCATGCCGGTGGCTGGATATGGGTGGGAAAGGCAGCTCCACCGGCACCTTGTCTCTTCAGATTCAGAGCAATCCCTGGTATTGGAACAGTGCTGGGTGTCTCCTCGTAACACCCGCCTTCCTCAGCCACGGGGGCTGTCAGGAGAGCTGTGAGTGTCCCACCAGAGGGTGACGTACTCATCTCCCTGTTTCATGATTCTCTGCAGATCCCCCAGGCCACCCTGGGAAAAGCCCCTGGGCTGATGGGAGTGAGTCCATAGAGGCGGTGGATGGACCAGTGAAGAGAGAGGACAAGAAGGTGAGGCATGGCCTTTTCACTTGGGAACGTCTGCCACTCGCAGCTGACAGAGCTGGGACACTGGGTTGGCGAGACATAGGAGAAAGCTTGCCGGTGTGTCTGCACCTGGTGGGGCAGCAGGTCACTTTCCATCCAGCTTGCGCGGGCCTGGCATCCGTCATTGGTTCTGGGGATTGCCGTGGTGCCGAGTAACCATAGGTGCTACCAAGCCAGCTCCAGGGCTAGGGGGCCTAGACAAGGGAGACTGCCTCCGGTCTGTGTATGTGAGAGAGGAATTAGCCAGTGACTGGGGCTGGCATCTCTGCAGGGGACCCAGGAGCACTGGGAGAAGTGACCAAGCAGTGGGTGGCTTCTGGGTCTCCCTCAGGAACTAGTGACTACAGGGTAGGAGGCTGGGTTCTAGGGACTGGACTTGCCTGAGGGCCTGAGACCAGGATCTTCCTGGGACCCCAGGACTCTGGCTGTGATCTGATTTGTTTTCACCCTCTTTAACTCTTTCTCTCCCCCACCCCAGATGAAAGCTGCTCGCGTCAAGTTTGACTTCCAGGCTGAGTCCCCAAAGTAAGTGGCACCTGGTGGATCTTTGTTGTTTCCAGACCCGAGATCCCCTGAGCGGGTCTGTTCCTATCAGTGTAGCCATCCCCCTCTGTCCTGGTGGACCCAGCCACTGTGCCAGCTGTGGAATTGACCTGTATTTTCTCCCTCTCCTGGGGGGATTTAGTTGGTCAGTTTGAATCCTCAGGGAATCGTCTCTGGCGGGGAGTGGTGGAGAGGGACCTGGCCTATGCGATGCAGGCTAGCCCCTCTGTCCCCTGGCTGCTCCTGCAGAGATAGGAGAGTAGCTGGGGCAGGCCGGGAAGAGGGTGCCGACTTCCCCCTCGCTGGATCTAACCTCACCAGAGAAGAATGCGTGGAAATGAAGTCTTCCCAGGGGAGCGATTATGGACCAGAGTGGGGCTGGCACGTCCTGAAGGGTGAACTTAACGCCTGGCTCAGCCTCAGGCTCCACTGTCTGGAGAAGTGGGGGGATGGCCCCTTGCAAAGTGGGCATCCTGCGGGACTGGGTCAGCAGCAAGAGAACTCCCTACAGCCAGGGGTTGAGGTGTGTCCCTGCTGATGGCAGGGAGGCAGGACTCAGCCCCGCATCAGGAGTCACAGGCGGGGATGGCCCCGCGGGTGTGTCTCGGGGCGAGGGAGCTCCTGGCTGGAGGGGGCAGGCGCCAGCCCGCGGGAAGGGCCTGTGGGCCGTGACGCTAGGCCTTGACCTTTCAGGGAGCTGACCATGCAGAAGGGGGACATCGTCTATATCCACAAGGAGGTGGACAGGAACTGGCTGGAAGGAGAGCACTATGGGAGGGTGGGCATATTCCCCTCCAACTACGTGGAGGTAAGGACGGGGCTGCTGCTGACATGATTGCAAGCCTGGCTGGAGGGGCGCATGCCCAGGGCGGGTCCCCAACTCTCGTGGAGAGGGGGACAGACGTGCCCAGCTCTCCCATTGCCCTGGGCGCTGACGGCTCGGCGTCAGCCTGGCATCGAGGCTGGCAAGCTGCTCCCTGGACAGTGTTCTCATTCAGCTCTTGGCCCTGGTGCAGGGAGTAATAGAGACGTGCCCTCTAGTGGCCAATGCTGGTGTTACGCCTGCACCGGGACATGGGCAGCCATCAACACCCTCTTCCAACCCCTCCCGCAGCCCCAAGGTAACCCAGACACCAGGACAGCGGAAACCCTGGCAGGACCAGCTGCCTCCCAGTGGGGACCGAGCGATCCCAGACCCGACAGCTCCCTCCTCCCAAGCACAGCCTAGACCTTCTCTCTGCTGCTGCTGAACAGGCTGGATGTGCCGAGCCTGCGGAGCTAGAATAGACCAGGTGTTCCCTAATATCCCATTGGCATGACTGGCTGATCGCAGGGTACAGGGAGAGAGCCAGCAGCACTGAAAGGGTTAACCCCGTTCCCCTACACCTGGGGGTCTTGAAATGGAACATGCCCCACCCCAGCAGGAGGCAAGGGCTGGATGGGGTGCTCCGGACAGACAGCTGCCCACCAGCTGCTGCCTTGCTCCGCTTACCCTGCTCCCTGTCTCTCCCAAACAGATCCTGCCTCCCACCGAAGTGCCCAAGCCCATCAAGCAACCCACCATCCAGGTGCTGGAGTATGGAGAGGCCCTGGCCCAGTACAACTTCAAAGGGGACCTGGTGGTGGAGCTGTCCTTCCGCAAGGTACAGAGCCCGCCTGGTAGGGGTGCTGGGCGCGGTGAGCACAGAACGGTCACGAGGAAGCTTATTGCAGAAGCTGTTACCTTCAGGTCACAGTTCAGTGCCTGGTAATGACCAAAAGTCATTCCCTCCTGACAGCTGTCCAGTGGCCTGTTGCTGGGTCTCAAACCAGTGCCTGGCCCTGTAGCTGGCAGCCTCAGGGAATCGCCCCTGACGGGGTGTGGTGGAGAGGAACCCAGCCTCTGTGAAGCGGGCTAACCCCTCTGTCCCCTGGCTGCCCCTGCAGTGTCGTTCTCTGCACTGGTCCCTCCTGGGACTGAGCTGGGGATGCGGCATGTGTGGGGTGGTGGCGCATCATAGAATCATAGGACTGGAAGGGACCTTGAGAGGTCATCTAGTCCAGTCCCCCGCACTCATGGCAGGACTAAGTATTATCTAGACCATCCCTGACAGGTGTTTGTCCAACCTGCTCTTAAAAATCCCCAATGATGGAGATTCCACAGTCTCCCTGGGCAATTTATTCCAGTGCTCAACCCCCCTGACAGCTGGGAATTTTTTCCTCATGTGCAACCTAAACTGCCCTGGCTGCAAGTTAAGCCCATTGCGTCTTGTCCTATCCTCAGAGGTTAGCATCAGGTGCGCTTGGCCTGAACCTGTTCTGTAGGTGCTCAGAAGGTGTCGGTCTCCACAGTGGCCTGTCCAGAGCCCTTCCCCAGTGCTGAATCCACTTGCAAAGAGCCATGTCGCTGTGCATCACCCTCAGGCCGCATGCTCCAGGGGCCGAGCTGCAACACCCCAGCAGCACTCCCCTCCATGGGACAGCACTGCGCAGCCAGCTGGACTGGACATTGCATGACTGGACAGACCAGTGGGGCTAGAGGGGGCAGGAAACCAGACTGGCTGGGCTGTTGGTGCGGCCGGATGGACCTGCTGGAACAGGAGATAAGAGAACCAGGGTGGGCTGGTCTGTTCTGGAAAGGCAGGAAGCCTCAGGGGCCCATGTCCCCATCCCGGGGGCTCCTAACCTCGCCCCTCTCTCCATCCACAGGGCGAGCGCATCTGCCTGGTCCGCAAGGTGGATGAGAACTGGTATGAGGGACGGATCTCCGGCACCAGCCGCCAGGGCATCTTCCCGGCCAACTACGTGCAGGTGGTGAAGGAGCCACGGGTCAAGGCCTCAGAGGAGTTCCCCTCCTCCCCAAACTTGACTGCCCCTGCCTCCCCAAGGCTGCTGGCTCACGCAGGCTCACCGGCCCAGCTGCACTCGCCTGGTAGCCAGCGTTCCGATCCCTCATCCTCCTTCCTGGCAGCCTCTCCCACTGCCCAACGGCGCGGCATGGAGGGGGGCACCCTGTCGTCCTCGCCGCGCCATTTTGGCTTCACCTTCCCTGCCTCCCCCAAACTGCAGCATGCCGGAGTCTCGTCCAGCCTCCTCCAGGGGCCCCAGAGCCCCCATTTGGCCCCCAGCACCGCCTTGCTCTCCCCCCTGAGTCTGAGCCCGCAGCCTCCGGCCCCTTCCCGGCCACAGGAGAGTCCACCCACTGCAGCGCCCTCCTCGCTCCTTGGGCAGGTGAGACAGTCACGCTTCTCCTTCAGCCCTTCCTTCCCCAGGTCCTCCTGCCCTGTCCTGCCCAGCCTGCAGCACAAGGACCCCAGCTCCCTCCAGTGCAGACTCTGCAGCTGTCCCAGGACAGCTGGTGAACCTGCACGCGCCCCTGGAGTCCAATCACCCACCCCTGTAGCCCCCCATGCGTGCGGGTCAGCATCTGTCCTCCGGGCTCTCTCTCTCCCTCCCTTCTCCACACCACGGGGCTAATTTCCCCAGTGACGCAGTAGGAGTGCCCATCCCCTCCACCTCTGGCCCCCTCTCCCAGTGCTGCTCGCTGTTGTCCAGCGCACCAAACTCTTCCGTCTCCCTTGCAGAGCTCCGCCCGTGAAGCCTCGGTACCTGCAGGCTGCCACCTGGGCAGTGCTGGGCACCTCCCCAAGGCCCCCCCGTCTGACAACGGCTCCAGCATACAGTGGACCCCGTAAGTGCAGCCGGATCGCTGGCTTCTCCGTCTCGGTGAGGGGCGCAGAGGAGCAGGGACCCCCTACTCCTTTTGGAAGCCAGCCAAGCCGGCCCGGGGAAGTGACCTGTGCCGAGGGCTGGCTGCAGACACCCCACGGAGGTGCTGGGCTGGGACAGTGTCCGAATTGTTACCCCAAACAAGGGCCTTTTCAGAGCCGCTCGCTCAGTGAACTGCGACCAGCGGATGCTGCTGGCGGCTGTACCAGGTCCTCCCCCACATGCAGACCCCCAGGCTGAGTGCCCCCAACATGCCTGTCTCTGTCGATGCAGCGCGGGAGCCGCTGGCGGGAGGGAGAGGGCTCTGCTGCCTCAGTGGGCCTGGCTCGGTTCCTAGCACCCGCCGGGCCAAGCCAGTGCAGGTGGGAGCAGGGTCTCACGGGCTGACGGGGTCTTGCAGGTTCCGGGCCATTTATCAGTACAGACCCCAGAACGAGGACGAGCTGGAGCTGCACGAAGGGGACCGGGTGGACGTCATGCAGCAGTGTGACGACGGCTGGTTTGTGGGTACGTTTGCCGGCTGGAGGGAGGAGGGGAGATGCTACCCATGGGAGTGCTGGGGGGAGCAGGACAGGAGCTCCCAGTGACTCCAGTCCCAGCCTCTCCCAGCGGGGGCGCCGAAGGGGATGGTGCAGGACTGGCCATGGGGGGGAGGGTGGTGTTGGAAGGAGGTGAGTTGCTCCCGCAGGGCAGCCTCAGACTCCTCCCTCACGGCCCTCCCTGTGTCTTCCCACCCCCAGGTGTGTCCAGGAGAACCCAGAAATTCGGCACCTTCCCAGGCAATTACGTTGCTCCTGTGTAACATCCCCCTGCCCCGCACCCCAGCACGAGCCAAGAGGAAGCTGCAGCTGCGACTCAGGCTCCTGCAACCGACCCAGAGCCGGCGCCGCACTCTGAGACAAGGCGAGGAACCAGGAGATGGGGATCGGGCCCAGCTCCCACGGACATTCCCAGCAGGACCCTTTTGGTGGCTGCTGCTGGGGAGCTCGGCACTGGGACGGGCACCTGCCTCTCCTAGTAGGACCTCACTTCCCTGTCCCAGTCACTCAGCTCAGCTTCCAGCACTGCCTCTTGGGGCTCAGGACCAGTCCCTCTCCTTCCCCCGCCCGTGGGGCTCCCTCTAATGGGGACCAGTCTCTGTCCTTGCCCTCCCCCTGTGGGGCTCCCTCTAACGGGGACCAATCCCCCAGCCTTACCGCCCATGGTGCTCCCTCTAACGGGGACCAATCCCCCAGCCTTACCCCTCATGGGGCTCCCTCTAGTGGGGACCAGTCCCTGTCCTTCCCCCTCCCCCCGTGGGGCTCCCTCTAACATGGACCACAGTGTTACCCCCCTGTGGGGCTCCCTCTAATGGGGACCAATCCCCCAGCCTTACCCGCTGTGGGGCTCCCTCTAACATGGACCAATCCCCCAGCCTTACCACCCATGGTGCTCCCTCTAAAGGGGACCAGTCCCTGTTCTTCCCTTCCCCCCCTCCGTGGGGCTCCCTCTAACATGGACCAATCCCCCAGTCTTACCTCTCGTGGGGCTTCCTCTAATGGGGACCAGTCCCTGTCCTTCCACCCTCCACCCCGTGAGGCTCCCTCTAACAGGGACCAGTCCCTGTCCTTCCCCACACACCCCCGTGGGGAGGCTCCCTCTAACAGGGACCAGTCCCTGTCCTTCCCCACATACCCCCGTGGGGCTACCTCTAACATGGACCAGTCCCCCAGCCTTACCCCTTGTGGGGCTCCCTCTAACGGGGACCAGTCCCTGTCTTCCCCCTTCCCCCCCCCGTGGGGCTCCCTCTAATGGGGACTAGTCCCTGACCTTCCCTCCCCACCGTGGGGCTCCCTCTAACGAGGGACCAATCCCCCAGCCTTACCCCCCGTGGGGCTCCTTCTAATAACCAGTCCCTGACCTTACCCCCACATGGGGCTCCCTCTAACATGGACCAATCCCCTAGTCTTATCCCTAGGGCTCCCTGCTCCCCCATGGGGCTCCCTCTGATGTGGACCAGTCCCCCATCCCTGCCCCCAGGGCTCTCCTGTGCCCGCCTGATAGGTATCTCCCAGTCTGTGCCTCACTGCAGAAGGTGTCTGCATCCTGCGGGAAGAGACTGTTAGTCCTTTTTCTCCAGCTGAACCCCAAAGCGGGACGCTCCTTTCTCCCTGGGGAGGCACAGAGCGCTATATCTGCTCCCCCACGACCTCTGGAGGGAAGCGGACGCTGAGCCTGCCCTCTGCATCTCCATGGACCCAGCGAGTTGTGTTGTGCTGAACCCTGTGCGTGCATGCGGCTGACCTTAGCCTCGGCAAGGTCGCTGTCCTCTCCGGTGCTCCTGCCATGTGGGGGGGATGCGGGGAGGGCAGACTCCTGGAAGCTGCCTGTAAAGGGCCGGCTCACGCACCCGGAAACCTGATCTGCTTGTCCTCTGTTATTAAAGATCAGCCTCGCCCCACGCGAAGGCCCCGCCTGGTGAGCGCAGGGACGGGCAGGAATCCATGCCGCAGGGCAAAGGGCAGTTTGTGCTGGAACCCTGAGGCAAGGGCAGACGCCCTTGTTGCCAATGCCAGGATGCACCGAGTGTGATAGACCTTCTCTGAGCAGCAGGCAGTGCCCCAGCTAGGATCCCTGTGCTCCCCTTGCCCTCACGCTGAGTGCAGTCACTTCGGTTCTGTATCAGCTGGGCTGCTCGCTGGTCACCCCATGCTGGGCACCCCCTAAAGCATCTCTTCACACTCGGTGTGGCGATGGCAGACTATGACCCCTTCGGACCTGCTCAGGCCAAGCATGAATACGTAAAAGGGTGTTACAAAGAGGAGGGAGAAAAATTGTTCTCCTTGTCCTCTGAGGATAGGACAAGAAGCAATGGGCTTAAACTGCAGCCAGGGTGGTTTAGGTTGGACATTAGGAAAAACTTCTTAACTGTCAGGGGGGTTAAGCACTGGAATAAATTGCCCAGGGAGGTTGTGGAATCTCCGTTATTGGAGATTTTTAAGAGCAGGTTAGACAAACACCCGTCAGGGACGGTGTGACTGGGGTCCTAGTGGGGAGCTAGCTATGGTCACTCAGTTAGGGTGAACTGCAAAGAATGGGGCAGACAGACCCCATAAAGCTGGTGTACATTCCCATACTTAGATTTACCAAGCTAGATAAAACAGCTTCTTTATTACCTCACTGGTTACTCAGAAGTCCAGACAACATAGTTCCCTTAAAATGATCCAACCTCAGGCCTCCATCCAGGTACCCACTGTCACGGAGTCCCTGGGCGATGCTTTGGAACTGCTCCCCGTGAAGCCAGTCAGGATTCTGGGGTGGTCGCCTTCCTGTGAGCAGCCTGTCTTCAGGACACAGCTTCCACCTTCCTGGGTCTGACCTTGGAGCATTCAGCATCCTCTGCCCCTCTGTGCGCTTCCCACAGCGAGTCCGCTCAGGCGGGGCTCCTGGGGAAGCCAGAGGGTCCTGCACCCCAACTTCGCAGTCAGACGTGACTCTCAGCCAGCCAGTAAAACAGAGGTTTATTAGACGACAGGAACATGGTCTAACACAGAGCTTGTAGGTGCAGAGAACAGGACCCCTCAGCTGGGTCCATTTTAGGCAGTGAGCCAGACAACCACGTCTGCCCTTCACTCCATGTCTCCAGCCAGCCCCAAACTGAAACTCCCTCCAGCCCCTCCTCCCCTGGGCTTTGTTCCTTTCCCCAGGCCAGGAGGTCACCTGATTCCTTTGTTCTCCAACCCTTTAGCTCTCACCTTGCAGGGGGGAAGGGCCCAGGCCATCAGTTGCCAGGAAACAGGGTGTTGGCCATTCTCTGTGTCCAGACCCCTGCACACACCTGCCCTCTAGGGCTCTGCAATGATCATACACCCTTACCCCACTACCTAGATACTTAAGAACTGCCTAGGGGAAACTGAGGCACCCCCACACTATTCAGAGGAAACATTAAGAACAGTCCCACTTCGTCACACCCACATCAAATATGATGAAAATTTCTGTAAATCTTATTTCATCATATAAAAGAAAAGGTTCTCCCAGTCCCAAAGGATCGGACATGTCACCTCCCAGGTTAACAAATGTTTCAGATCTTACCCAAATATGCGCCTCATGCAATTCTTATTAACGAAACTAAACTTTATTAAAAAACAAGAGAGAGAGAGTATGGTTAAAAGATCAGTATACATACAGACATGAGTTCAATTCATTGAGGTTCAGATTCGTAGCAGAGATGTTTCAGAGTAACAGCCGTGTTAGTCTGTATTCGCAAAAAGAAAAGGAGTACGTGTGGCACCTTAGAGACTAACCAATTTATTTGAGCATCCGATGAAGTGAGCTGTAGCTCATGAAAGCTCATGCTCAAATAAATTGGTTAGTCTCTAAGGTGCCACAAGTACTCCTTTTCTTGTAGCAGAGATGGTGAGCTTTGTAGTTGCAAAGAGTTCTTTCAGAAATAGTTCATAGGTTATAGTCCAATGTCCAAATCTCATATTCAGGGCATACCAGCATAACTGGGACCCCAGTCTTGCGACTCAAATTTCCCTCGATGAAGCCTAAGCTGACAGAATCAGGACCCAAGGATCTGTTATATAATTACAGGTTTCAGAGTAACAGCCGTGTTAGTCTGTTTTCGCAAAAAGAAAAGGAGTACTTGTGGCACCTTAGAGACTAACCAATTTATTTGAGCATGAAGTGAGCTGTAGCTCACGAAAGCTCTCAAATAAATTGGTTAGTCTCTAAGGTGCCACAAGTACTCCTTTCTTTTTTATATAATTACATGTTTTTTGACAAGGTGGGAGTTCAAAAGTTAATTAGGATGACTTTGGAGGAGGTCCATCACCGGTACTTATCTATAGAATTAACATAAGGCAATTTGCTTGTTCCTCCACCATTCACAGATTATTTGCTATACATTTCAAAGAGAGACGAATACCGATATCCCGTGTTTACAATTCATTTAAATGCTAGGATGTTCTTTTGACCTCTGAATTATTAGAATACAGCATAGATAGGGACTGTTGATTACATTGGCGACCCTACTCATACATATGTAAAAACACAAACATTATCTCCCCACATGTCTTTTGAGGGTTACAGATGGTCTAGATAATACTTAGTCCTGTCCTGAGTGCAGGGCACTGGACTGGATGACCTCTTGAGGTCCCTTTCAATCCTACAATTCTGTGAGCTCCAGGAGGTTATTTAGTGACCAAAGGGCTGCTGACATGTTACAAGAGAAGTGGCTGCTCCGAGCTGGGGCAGATGGGATTCAGGAGCCTCCGGCTGCTCCCTCACAGACACTCATCCAGGGCAGCCTCCCGGCCTCAGTTGTGCGGGACCAGCCTATGGCTGCCCTGGAATCTCTTGTAATGACTCTGGTGGTCAAGAGTGGTGATTCAACAGGGCCGGGCTCAACCCAGGGACCAGGACAATATCGGCCCAATATTTGTACCACTCCTTTCCAGCCCTGGCCTCCTTGAGCTTCCTCTCCCTGAGCTCGCAGGGTGCAGATCCAGCTGGGGGTCTCAGCGGTTTGGGCCGCACAGGCCATTACACTGACCCATCCTAGGGGCAGCGCGAGGACCCACAGGCAGGATTCCTGGACAGTAGTATCTCCAGGCACTGAGAGAAGGCTCTGAGTTTCCCCAGCTGGAACATAGCTGGCCCTCGCTAGGAACAAGGGTGGCTGCAAACTTCCTCCATTTAATACACGTGAAAGGGGGACCCTGGGTTCCAGGCAGGCTCCCAGCACCCCAGTGAATAAAGTCTGAGCAGGGCTGGACACACTGGCAGCCACCTTTTGCTCTGATTCACTCACCAGGAAACCCCACTGAATCAATGGGAGTGCGCAGGGTGCCCATTGGCCCAGTAGCTGTGTATAGGGGGAGGGATCCGGGTGGGTGGTCCTCAGGTCAGCACCCAGGCAGGAGGGGCTGTAATTACAAGTTCCACATCAGCCCTTCTGCACTGCGTGGCTGCAGAATAGAGTCACGGGGCAGTGCTATTTACCTGCTGAGGGCCCGCACCGGAGGGGACAGCGTTGGGATACAACCAGAAGGTGGGTGACTGAGATTCCCCAGAGCCAGAGGGTCAAATCCTGGGAGCGCTTTGTTCCCCATCAGAAGGAGCTAACCCATGGGCCAGGCCGTTTATTAGGTGTGGAACTGTAAGCCCAGGTTCTGTCTGCCCTGTCTTCCCATTAAAGAGTCCAAGGCATTTCCCTGACAGGCTGGAGTTTGCCTTCGGCTGAGATTTCCCCTCACACAGCGGCTGTGCTGTGTTGCAAGGCCACCACCTTAGAGGTGGCTGCATTTCCATGGAGCTGTGCCGGGAGAGTGTCAGGATTTGCGGACAGTAGGTTGTCTTGGGGCTGCCAGCAGGAGGGAATCTCTGAGCTATTGTAACAAACCTCCAAACAAACTGTCCCTCTGCAGTGTGCTACAGAGCTTCGCAGCAGCAGCATGCACAGAACTCAGCTCTCCCTGCTCGAAATCACAGGCCCCTGCCACTTGAGCTAAAGGAGAGTCTCCATCAGCTGTCAGCAGTGTAGTACCTATGCCACACAGATGAGCACTTCTGATTCCATCCAGTAGATGGCATGCACGCACAGCCAATTAATCGTATCAGATCCTACAGAGCATCCCTCAGCCTGCCACCACCCCAATGCGGGGCAAGGAGCTACAGTGGGGAGGAAGGGGGAGAGAAATAACACAATCAGTTATCAATGAGACGAGGCACAGTTTCTTAGCACAGACAACATTGCCTGTGACCCTGGTGTTGCAAGCTGGCTCTTCCAAGGTAATGAATGCCGGTCTGTGAGGCCTGTATGGGGACAGTGTCTACAGAGGAGAAACAGGAAGGGGGGAAAGGATTGTGTGAGCCTCTGAGGCCCCTATACAATCTCCTTTCTGTTGTCCTGCCCCCACTTGCACCCCCTCGTAGATCGTAAAGACAGCAGGAGCCATTCTCATGACCAGCCAGTCTGAGCTGCCTCCTGCCGGCTGGCCGGAGAATACCATCCAGTGATTCCTGCCTGCAGCCGGCCACCTGAGCTAGAGCAGAGCTCTTAGAGAGAAAAGGAGGACTTGTGGCACCTTAGAGACTAACCAATTTATTTGAGCATGAGCTTTCGTGAGCTACAGCTCACTTCATCGGACGCATAGTGTGGAAAATACAGAAGATGTTTTTATACACACAAACCATGAAAAAATGGGTGTTTGTTTGTATGAAAACATCTTCTGTATTTTCCACAGTATGCATCCAATGAAGTGAGCTGTAGCTCACGAAAGCTCATGCTCAAATAAATTGGTTAGTCTCTAAGGTACCACAAGTACTCCTTTTCTTTTTGCGAATACAGACTAACACGGCTGTTACTCTGAAACCTCTTAGAGAGAGACGTCCATCCTCTTGTTGGGGACGGGGAATCCCTGGGCAGCCCATGCCAGCTGCTAACCACCCACCCCATCAGACAGGTGCCTCGGTGCCACTGTGACTGTCTCTCTTCCAGAGGCAGCCTGATGGGCCCCGTGACTTCCCCTTGTTCTCACTGCTCGCCTCAGCTGAGTTTGGTTCCTCTCCGGCGCTGAGGCCGGAGTGTGTGTGTGACGGTCATTCTCTGCTCTGGTCACTCTTGCCATTGGGTCATGTTTCCAAGAGCCGCTAGGTCACACGGGCGCCTGCAGGCCGTCCCCAGGAGCCAGGGTTCTCTGCTCGGTGTCCCCCTCTGGATCCCTAGTTTTGCACCTTTGACCTTCACTCCTGACCCTGTTCTTTCTTAGTTGTCCCCCGCGCTGATTTGGATCCCGGGTGCAGTGGTCCCTCCTGCACGGCTGGGGGAGGGGCCTTTAGAAGCAGAGGGGCTTGCACCCGCCTGCCTCCCAGAGCTTTCCAATAAGGCCCGTAGGAGTGATTTAGGCCCAGCTTGGCAAGGGTAGTTAGGGGCTTAACTTCAGGCAGGCATTGTGGCCAAGTGGCTAGAGCCCTGCACTGGGACTTGGGAGACCTCGCTTCTATTCCTAACCTGGCTACTGGGTAATCCCAGGCAAGTCATCCCAGGCAAGTCACTTTCCTGCTCTCTGCCTCAGTTTCCCCATCTGTAAAATGGGGATGACACGGAGCTTCTTGGGAATGAGTGACAGGGGATGGATCACTTGATGGTGACCTGTTCTGTTCATTCCCTCTGG